AGGAAATATATTTTTTGATCAACAAAGAATAATTTTCTTAAAGCCCAAGCATTTTCATCTTTGAGTAATGAAATCAATATTGATTATTGATTCAACCTTTATCAAACAAATTCAATCAAGTATGTCTTCTAATCCTCTTCTTCTTGATATTAAGAATCCTTCTTCCAAGTCTTATGATGCTTCCAAATTCAAATTCAAAAATAACCTACTTTATTTTGAAGGATGCCAATATGTTCCAAAAAGAGAAGTATGTTTACGTGTTCTTCAAGCATGCCATAACTTTCTAGTAGTTGGACATTTTAGATACAATAAGACTTTAGAACTGATATTTAGAGATTTTTGGGGGCTGCAAATATGAAAGGTGTACAAAGATTTTGTTCAATCATGTGATGTTTGCTTAAGATCAAAAACTTATCATCATCAACTTTATGGATTTTTTTAGCCATTATTTATTCCAAAATAACCATGGTCTTCTATTTCTATGGATTTTATCATAGATCTTTCAATCTCAAGTTTATATGATTCTATACTTATAATAGTAGATCGTTTTACAAAGATGGCATATTTTTTACGATGTACAAAATCTATCACTTACAAAGAAATAACTAAGCTTTTCCTAGACAATTTCTATCAATATCATGGATTGTCTAAGGATATCATATTGGATAAGAAGATTCAATTCATATCAAGCTTTTGAAAAATCTTTTTTAAAATTTTAAAGATAGACATAAAGCTATCTTTGACCTTTCATCGTCAAAATGATGGACAAATAGAGCATGTAAACCAAGGTTTGGAACAATACTTAAGGTGTCATCAATTATCAACAAGACGATTGGAGAACCCTCTTATCATTGGCAAAGTTTGCTTATAATAATATGATATATTTTCCTATGCAACAAACATCTTTCTTTATCAATTATGATTACCATCTACAACTTGATACTTTTGTCTTTTCAAAAGTTGATAATCCTATGGCATAAGATTAGGCAAATCATTTGTTTGAGATATATGCAACAATAAAGATGAAATTAAAAGAAGCTCAAGAACAACAAAAGATCAATGCAGATGCCTGTAGAAAAGAACAATGAAAATTTAATGTAGGTGACAAGATATGGTTACTTTGTCATAATATCAAGACTACTTGTCCTTGTCATAAGTTAGACTATTGCGGACTTGGATCTTTTCTTATTTGTAGATAAATTAATCTAGTTGCTTATTGATTACATTTATAGGACTCAATGAAAATCCATCTTGTCTTTAACGTGTTTCTTCTTGAATCATATAAAACTATAAACATACCAAGAAGAAGACAAGCTCTACCTTCTCCTATAGATGTGGATAATAATAAAAATTTTGAAGTAGAAGAAATTCTAGACTCAAGGCAACGCCAAAATAGGTTGGAATATCTTATACATTGGTACTGATATGATATTACTGAACGTACATGAGAGCCAATAAAGAATCTTGCAAATGCAGCAGAGAAGGTGGAGGCTTTTCATCAATTACATCTATCAAAATCAAGATGAAAGACCTTCCTTATAACAAAAACAAGATCTAAACTAGATAACATTCTACTTTCTATCCTTGTTTGAGTTGTTTTGTATTTGTGACACTAAAGAAATGGAGAACTAACAACCAGTGGATTCGACTGAAGAGCCTTCATTTATTGACCTACCGAACAAGACATTCCAATTGTCACAACCTTTCAGAAGACGTAATTGAGATGAAGATCCTTAAGAATGACATGTTTTTTCTTAAATAGATGGCAAGATACAATGCGTTTAGTATCATGACCTTAGAAGGTACTCCCAATATTTGGTGATTTTACTAGACATAGGAACAATTAATGATAATGTTCCAAATATTTTATTTGAAGAAATTTATGAAGACCTTAACAATGATCAAATAATTGGGTGGTCTTTCTATGTTAGTATAAGACACTATTGATGATTGAAAGGTCCTATCAACCATCTTCAAAAAGAACAAAGATCAAAGTATGTGCTAAATACAATTTACCGCATCTTAGATTTCTTCAACATATGATGATCACTTCTCATGGAACTTGTTTCTAGAAGGTAGGATAATATCACGGACATATACATGTAAACCAATAATTATCTACATGATTAAATAAAAGTAGGTAAAAATAGATTAATTCCATAATATCTTCTATAGTAGCTTCCTAAAAGCCTCATAGAAAGTGCTTTGACTTTATATGTGTTTATAACTGATTCTTTAGATTAGAAACGTGGTCAACAAGTTAATCATATGCCACACATGTTGATAGCTTAAAGAACAAGCTAATTATGTGGTACACACATAAAAAACTTGTCTTGTAAACTAAAGCATGTGTCTTGAAAAGTCAATACATATTAGAAGTCCTATAGAACATCGCAACATAACTCCTAGTAAGATAGTATATATAGAGGCAATAGTGAAGTCTTTTCTACTCTTGTCAATTCCTTTCTTGCTTCTAGTCTAGATTCAAGAGTCTAGGTTTGTTGTCTTTTGGTAACAACCATTCTAGTTACTTTTTAATATACGTACTACTTTATTTTTATTTTTTTTATTTTTTTTTTATACAAATTTTTCAATTTTATGTATCTTTTTCTAGTTCATGTCCTTCACAAGTTCACAAGTAAATGAAAAATGTCTTGCTTCTACAAGTATGAGAGAGGCAAAGATAGTATTATAGAAAAGTTTGACAAAACAAGATCAAAGTTCCAAAGATTTCTACAATAAGTGAAGTTCTATTTATAGTTATATCTTTTCCAGTATCCTAATAGATTTACTCAAATTGATTTCATAAGTGTACTTCTATCTCAGAGTACTCTCTCTTGGTTTATACCTTTGATGAAAAAAGATTCATGACTCTTTTATGATATGAATTCCATCTATTAGATGGATCTTCTAGCTCCTACATTTTTGTAAGTAGTTTTCAACTACTACTATTACATTACATGATTCAAATTTATTACATCATGATAATAAAAACAAAAAATTACATATATCCCTTAAATATCTTAAAATATCAAGAATATTCTTGTATTCTTGATAATATCAAATGTATCTTTTGTATATAATAGGATATGACCACAAGGGATATATTTGCTATTATCAAGAATATAAGAATATTCTTAATATTTCAAAATATTTGAAGAAAGTATATAAAATTTATCCTATTAAATATGATTGTTGATTCTAAAATATTATGAAAATTTCAAAAAGTTTAAAAAAATTTCTAAAAAAAATAAAATGTTCTAAAATTATATAAGAGGTTCTCAAATATTCTTAAGATTTTTAATAATTTAAAAAATATAAATTAATATACAAATATAAATATTTATTAGATTTTAGAAGGTTTAAATAAGATTACAAGTTATTTTTGTTTGTAATATCACCTCTTTATCTATTTACAACATCTATAAATAACTTTAATAATCTAAGTTTTAAAATTACTTAAAAATTAATTAATTTTAGATAATTTATATAATAGATGTTATCTTCTTTATCTTTATTCAATAGATATTCAAAGTCATTCACTTAAAAACTACACATACAATATTTTGAGATAAAAGAAACAAATTTAAGTGACTTAAATTGAATTTAGGCCTTCAAAACATCTCTACAAAACATCCTCTTTCTTATTAAATTTAATATTATCAATTTGTAGTAATATAAATAAGTTTCAAAAAAATATTTATTAAATTTACTTGATTTTTAATTATAAAGAGACTTAAAGTTTAATAGTCTAATTTTTTCAATAGCTATTTTTGTAATAATATATTTTTTAAAAAGACATATTTTATTTCTGTCTTTAAAATTTAAATTTCTATTCTTAGTGATATCTCCATATGACATTTGTATTGCCTTTGAATCTTTTGCTGATAAAGTACAAAATTTTCTTAAATGACAACAAGTCAATTAATCAAATGCTATATATAAACTCTTTAACTTTTAATTCCTAAATAACACATTAAATATATATATATATATATATATATATATTGATGTATGCATTCTTCAAAACATCATAAAAGTAGTATAATGATAAAAGTAAATAAATAAACATCCTACACAAGCCCCAAAAACCAAATCATGTCCACACACACATACACACAAATACTTGAAAACATAGGTACAAAATATGACGGCAAGGGAGGAGGACGTGATTTGTTGTATTGTAAGAGATGGGGATGGATGGGCAGGTGCCTCATAAACTCTCCAGAAAGAAAGACAAGAATGAAAAAGGAAACAAAGGAGAGAGAAATGAAATCCTCCTCCATCCTCCTCCTCCTCCTCCCTTGCTGCCTCTTTCTTTTCCTCATTGCAAATTATAATAATAATTAATATTTATAATTAGTAAGAAGGAGGAGGAGGGGAAGACTACTACGAAGCAGTAGCAGCATCAGTAGTGAGTGAGTGAGTGAATGGAACCCCTTTGAGGAGGGGCTGTAGTTGTGCTTATGGTACTATCTATCAATGTATCAGCATAGCATTCAGTTTTTGCTGCTGCTGCTGCAGAAGAGTAACGCCATCCTTGTGGAGGTAGATTAGCAGGAGAGAGGGTCTCCACTCTTCTGTTTCCTTACATTTCCTTTCCTTCGCTTCTCTCCTTTGCTTTCCCCTCAACCCCTATCCCTCCCTCTTTCCTTCCTTCCTTCCTTCCCTGCCCTGCTCTGTGCCCTTCCCCTTCTTCTTCTGCTGCTGTGTTGTCGTCGTCGTTCGTCTTCCCCCTTTCCCCCATTTCCTTTCTCCGTGTCTCCCCTTCCTTTCCTTTCCCTGTGGTGGCGTCGTGCTGCAGCAGTCGACTGCTCTCAGGTAGGGTTTTGCGTCATTTGCCCCACCCCCCCCCCCCCCCACCTCCCCCTCCCCACCCCATTGCTATCTTTCTATCTCTGTCTCTCTCTGTGTCGCTGCGGTGTCTCCTCCCTGCCTGCCTGCTTGCCTGCCTGCTTGCCTGCCTGCCTGGTCGCTTCTCTGACCCGGTTGGGTTTCGTCTGTTTTGTACTCGTCAGGTTTTTTGTGGGTGGAGTTGCCACATTCCTCTGGAGGTGGTGGTCCGGTGTGTGGTCCAGCCGGGGTTGGTTGCCCAGGTTGTGATGAGTCGCGTTGGATGAACTTCTAAGAAAAATTATTTATTGTTTTGTTTTTTTTAATTTTTATCCCGGAGCGGTATTTATTTTTATTTATTTTGAAAGCCGACGGTTGGTTTTCGTGAATCCGGCGGGAAACAATACTTAAGTGGTGTAGCTGGGCCCCCATGTAGCTAGAATGTGTGGAGGTGGTGTCGGTTGTTGATTTTTCGAGGACATTTGGAAATACAGGTCGGATGAAGTGGTAACTAGAGGAGTTGTATTGTTGAGTAAGAGGGAGGATAAGTTGGCCGAGGTCGGGCAGATTCACAAGCTGCTTTAAGCAGCGGACTTGAAAAATATATCTACTCGTCTTGTTTTGCTCGTGTGTGGTGCGTTGCTGTAGTGCAATTGCATTACAATGCCGGATAGATGGGTCCTACTTTCCTGTCTCTATGTTTGTGAAACTAATTAAGGGTTGAGCGTTTACTTTACTGGACGATTGATAATAAGCAACCTAATTTTTTATATTAAGGTCCTGATCAAATAGTCTCACACACGTTAGTTGTACTGAATTAACTCAAGAGAGATCTTAGGTAGGCTGTTGGTATGGTTTCATTAGAGCATTTCGAGTTATCTTAAGTTTAGTTGTATTCCTGATTATGTCCTAAGTTTCTAGCGCTGATCCTAGGTTTTCAACTGGTTTGTGCAAGTGTGTGTGTGTTTTTTTGTTTATGTATTTGAAGTGGTAATGCGTTTTCGAGGGAATATTTTGCCTTTCATGTCATTGTAGACGTCCACAGTTGAGCTGTCATTTGAGCCCTTCATAGCATTTGCAAAGTGGTGTGCTATTATTATGTGAGGTGAAGTTTATTACACACTCTTTTCATTAGCATTTTTTAAAATTTATTTTTGTTTTTACTTTTTGTGGAAATGCTTGTTTCTGCAGTTGCAAGGAGACCGCAGCAGTACCTCTTTCACTCTCAGATTACAGTATGGGTCTTGGCCGACTTCCTTGGCCTCGTTTTAATTCATTTTCATAACGCTTGGCGTATTCTTATCCCTGAACATTGAAGGAGTTTGTCACTCTGAAGCACCAGGGTTTGCTAACTTTATGCTTTTAGAAGCGTAGTATCCAAAGCGAATTGAGTCGGCTGTGTGGAGTATCGTCGAAGTTTACTTAAAGAATATAGGGTTACCTTCCTCGGTTATATACTTCGGTCTCGGTGTTTTGCAAGGGTTCGCTTTCAACATTCAGGAGTTCGTAAATTTTTCCCTAGGATTCTAGGGTAGATTTGTAGCTAGACTTAATTATCGATGCTGTTATCTCACACTGACAACAGCGTTGCAACTATTGAAGGCGCGCATCGTGAGTGTCGTGAATGTAAGGGTTTCTGGTAATCCGAGTCTCTGTCCCGCCAGAGTTGCTCTAATCTGAGAAGGGAAGAAAATTTTCTTCAACATGACTAAAGAGGACTTTACGGACGAGCCTGTGAACGAAGGCGGCGATGGAGATGAGGTTTGTGAGCTTGTCCTGAATTAGCTCTTGACATTGGTTTTTGCTTACTATTGATGTCATAAGCTGCTTATTGAATGCTTGGCTCGAATATACCTGGCTTTTACGGGTTGGTAAGTGCAGCTTTGCAGCTCAAGTTTTCTAGAGTTGAAGGTTGGACGTGGATGGGTGTCGATCCTTTCTCCACCTTGTTCGTTGACCTTACGCTCCTGGATTTTGTTTTGAGGTTTACAGGAGTACAGTCTCGTTACGGAGAGATTGAGGCAGCGGACAAATAGAAAACCTGTGTATGTAGAAGAGGAGGAAGGTATGGAAGAAGATGAATGGGAAGAGGAGGCAGATGAGGGTGAAGAAGAGGAAGATGAGGAGAAAGAAGTTCTTAAGATGGAACAGGTATGACCTTCACTCAAGTTCAGAGTAACATTGCGAACAATTGAAACTCGCTCATCCATCTTCATTTCTGATTATGTTCCACGCCTACTATCTTTCAACAGTGAACCCAATTAGAAGTGTGTATTGTAAGAACAGCATTCTGTTCGTGATTACAAACTAGGTGGGCGTTGCTCTGATTTTTGATCATCAGTGCATGAAAAACCGAAGAGTTTGTTTTAGGCTCTGCACGTTATAAAGTCTATCTTAGTTTAGCTTTTATTTTTATTTTGTTTATTAATTTTCTCTCTTTCTGGTATAGTTCATTTCAGTGGCATGGAACACTTGCCTTTCTTGTAGCATTCACTAATAAGCTTGACCTCAAAACATTAGAATTAGTTGGTCGTTTGTCGAAATAGCCCTAGGGATTCTTCTGACCTCGTTCTCGAAGTCACGATATTCTGAGACTCGTACTAGTGTCTTGTCACGTTGTTTGGTAGCCTTTAACCCAGGTTTTGTTGCAATGAAGTTTCACGGTATGCATGTGGTATTGATGTGGGGCTGTCTCGGAAGTAACGTCATGAAATTGTTGAAATCCAGAGTGAGGACTTCTGCAGTATTTGCCATCTGGGAGGAGATTTGTTGTGTTGTGACACATGTACAGCTGTGTTTCATCTTGGGTGTTTGGATCCGCCTATGAAAGTTGTGCCACGAGGCAAATGGAGCTGTCCCAAATGTGTAAGTCCCCCGACTGGTCCGAACAAATTGCTTTTATAGTCGTATACACTTGTTCAGCATTATTTATGCTCTGCTTCTAAGGAAAACTGCGACCTGACCTAACCAGCTATCTCCAGCACTAGAGTTTGAATGCGTGTTGCTGCTTTTCGCGTGAGGCTTCTTTGTAAAGTTATGTTCAATTTTTTTGGGTACTTTTGCTGCTAGTATTGTGACAATTTCTGAAATATTCTTTGTCGGTTTCCGAACGATGGGTTACACAGGCAGACCCACTTGGTGACGTGGAAAAGTTCATTGATACTCAGATGAGACCAATGAAAGTTCCCGGCAAACTTCCTGTGAATGTTGAAGACAAAGGTTCAGAAGATCAACCACAGAAGCTTGTAAAACAATACTTGGTTAAGTGGAAGTCTAGATCTTATTTGCACTGCTCATGGTATGTGGCTACCATTGTTAGTCGACTCTCACCAGTTGCTTTGGGTTGTCTGGTGTTCATTTTGAATATTGATTGCTCCATCCGTGAAACTGTTTTCTTCGAGAATGTAGTTGCTCAGGGGAAAAAAAATAAAAAATAAAAACTGTGAAGTAACGCATTGATTGACTCTTTTTCCTTGCGGCAGGGTCACTGCAGAAGACTTAGAGAGGGGTATGAAGAACTTTGCAGGTCTAAGAATGAAACTCAACCATTTTCATAAGATGCTCGATGGAACCAGAAATTGGAACACACCCGATGAGGATCGCATGCCTATTAGACCAGAGTGGACTACTGTTGACCGTGTTCTTGATATGAGGTTCGGCACTACTATTCCCCTGTGTTTGGATTTTAGGGTTCGTGACTGGTGATGGTTAGCCGTCTGAGCTGGGGGTTGGTCAACTAGAAGATGAGTAGTTATTTCTCAAGGGTGCTCCCATGCCGTATTGGATGTAATGCTGAACACTGAAGGCTAGAGCAGAAGGTTTCGCATTCCTATTTTTTACCGCATTGTCTGTGCATGTAGGTTGGAAATCATGCTTTCGCGCACTGTTTGGGTCTTTTTCTATTGTATCCGATTTATTTATGTATGTTTGGTAGTTACGCTTACAGTGGCGCACATTTTTCCATATTTGTCTGCAGGCATAATGGTGATATCACGGAATACTTGGTCAAATGGAAGGAACTTGGTTACGATGAGGCCACATGGGAAGTTGAAGAAGATGTCTTAGCTTTTCAAGCAGAGATAGATAAATTTAAGGAGATTATGAGTCGTCAAGTATTGAAGAAGCGAAAAGGTTCAGCGCTCGACAGTAAAGATCTCAAGCGGCGAAGAAAGGACTTCAAACCCTTCAAAAAAACGCCTAAATTTTTGATTGGAGGTATGTATTACTTCATTATATCCTTGTTTGTTTCTTCCATCCCGATGTCGTCTCAACTTTTTTGGAGAACATGATGAAGATTTGTTTTATTCAATTAAGAAGTGACATTTGGACGAACGTACCTTCAGGTTTGGTAATGACAGTGATTGTAGTTATTTGGTCTTGTAGAAGTGCAAATACAAGACCACAGTATACTGTTGGACCTTCAGTGGAGTTGAAAATAAACTTTCATGAACACGTTGTCTCAAGTAGTGGGATAAAAGAGATATCAGGTTGGTACGTTGACTATTTGGGTTGAATATCAGAGGATGGAATGTGGGTTGTATCGAACAGGTTCGCTGCATCCATATCAGCTGGAGGGCTTAAACTTTCTGCGGTTTGCATGGGAGCAAAACAAGCATGTAATATTAGCTGATGAAATGGGTTTGGGTATGAAATCCATCTCACCCTTATTTCAGCTGCAGCTTCCTCGCTACTTTCTAGTTTCTTGCGGATATTGTACAACTTCATCAATCGCATATTGGCTAACCTTCTGTTCGCAGCTAAACTTTAACCGTGTCAATTTTTTCCATTACGAGCTGTTGCTGATAAAATATAGCTTCGAAGATGTATAAATAATCGCGTCAAGGAAGCTTGAGAATGTGACATGATCATGCCTTAGTCTATTCTTTCAATGACTTCTCTGATAATGAGATGTGGGTTGCTCTCATTTTTGTTATCTCCAGGTAAAACGATTCAAAGTATCTCACTTTTGGGATCTTTAGTGGAGGAGAATGTGGGTCTGCCCCATCTGGTCGTAGCACCACTCTCCACTTTACGGAATTGGGAGCGGGAATTTGCCACTTGGTGTCCTCAAATGAATGTGGTATGTTGCCATGGCTTATCACTATTCCTTAATTGTATAATTTCCTTTTTGTTTTTCTTACATCCTTTGACCCACATTGTTTATGCGTCTCTTGACTTTCAATTTGTCATATTTAACCAACGACTAGGAATATGTAACGTAATATTTAATAACTAGTATTGTTTTGAGTTAACGTCTCGGTGTACTGACGAAGTTCTTTCCTCACTATTTGTACTGCATACACTCAGGTCATGTACGTTGGATCCTCTCAAGCGCGGGCCATTCTTCGCCAGTATGAGTTCTTTTTTCCTCAAAAGAGTTCAAAGAAATCGAAGGACAAAGGAAAGAAGAAGATGGCAGGGGAGAGCAAGCAAGACCGAGTAAAGTTTGACGTGTTGCTGACATCTTATGAGATGATAAATCTTGATACTGCAATCCTTAAAGCTCTTAAGTGGGAATGTTTGGTACTGACCTATCCCTTCTTTAGTATTAGAATCAAAGGTTCTTAATGTCTTGAGGCTGGAATTATTTCCAAGCATAGGATGAGTTTAGTGTGCAATCTTATTCTTTGAAACGATTTTTACTGTCTACTATTTTGTATTTTTCTTCTTTCAGATTGTGGATGAGGGACATCGTTTGAAAAACAAGGATTCTAAGCTTTTTCAAACCCTCACAACTTTCTCCACCCGCCACCGAGTCCTCCTCACAGGGACACCCTTACAGGTTTTTTTTCTTATCTTTATTGTTTTCTTATCTTTATTTCCTTCTTTCCTACCTCAAGTTACATATGTTCCAACTGACAGGCGAGAAACTTTTCGTCCACAATTTCTGATAGATTCTTATGTGGTATTGCAGAACAACCTGGATGAACTCTTCATGCTGATGCACTTTCTCGATGCAGGCAAGGTTAGTATAGCGCTACTTACTCGTAATCTTAAGGGCTTATATTTGTTTGACTTGAACATATGTCTGAAGGTGACAAGTCTCTATTTCGTGGGCCAATTTACACTCCATGTCGGTATGTGCTTATGCAGTTTAATAGTTTAGAGGAGTTCCAGCAAGAGTTTCAAGACATTAATCAGGAGGAGCAAGTTGGGCGGCTGCACAAGATGTTGGCACCTCACTTACTACGCAGTAAGTTAACTTGTGTTACCTAGCTGCACTTTATCTATGCTTATCGGAACTCTGAAGGCATTACAGATGCAAGATCTGATGATTGTACGTCTTGTCTTCAGCTTAAAATATGTAGCAGAGTCAATCTGACCATTTGTGGTCGTTTTTCTTGTTTGAAGGAGTGAAGAAAGATGTCTTGAAAGAAATGCCACCTAAGAAGGAACTCATTCTGCGGGTGGAGCTTAGTAGCCTACAGAAGGAGTTTTACAAAGCAATATTGACAAAAAACTATCAGATTTTGGCTAAGCAGGGTGGTCCTCAGGTTCTAAATCAAATCTTCGTCCCTCTTTAATGCTCTCTTGTATGAGATGGTTGATTAAAATCTCTAGCATGTAGCTGCAGGGATTTGCTCAGGTAGATGTAGTACTGGTTAAGTTGTACTCTTTCAAATTTGTTCTGGGAATTTCGTGTGAATTCTCCTTCATTTATAGGGGCTTGTTATCACTGCTGTTAACCTGTATGCCTCTTAGTTCTTAATATACAAGTTGTACCTCTTAGAAAATTTCATAGGTATATTGTGCTCGTCGTCTCAAGGCTTTCTTGTTTGCAGGTTTCACTTACCAACGTGGTTATGGAACTACGTAAATTGTGTGGACACCCTTACCTTTTGGAGGGGGTTGAACCTACTGTGAGAAATCAGGCTGAAGCGAACAGGTGGGTTTTAGTTTGCATAGGTTATGAGATTGCTGGACTATCTCTAGTAGTCGATTGCGAACTGAGATTAATTCGGAGATTTACATGAAAATGATCCTAGATCTCTGGAAATGCGTCGCTATATGTGGTCTAATGAATGCTTTTTGCAAGATTCCCTGAGTCACTTACTTTTCCTGCAATGTTTTCCAACTTTAAGTGCGTTTTAACAGAAAGTATTGGCCTTGTGGTAGGCAGGCAGTTGTTGGAGAATTCAGGGAAGCTATTACTGCTGGATAAAATGATGACAAAATTACATGCTCAAGGCCACCGAGTTCTCATATATTCTCAGTTCACGCGCATGCTTGATATTCTGGAAGACTGGCTGCATTTGAAGGTTCATTTCGAACTTTCTCCTCATGTGGACATTCAAGCTAACATGTCTTCAGTTTTGGCATTTCTTGCAATAGTTGTAAACGCTTGTAATTCACTGGATGCAAGAACGTTCTTAATCGGAATTCCTTGTTTCAGAAATGGGGTTATGAGCGAATAGACGGTAAAATAAGTGGATCTGAACGCCAAATCCGAATCGATCGGTACAACGCACCTAACTCCACCAAGTTTTGCTTCTTGTTATCGACTCGAGCTGGAGGCTTGGGTATTAACTTGGCTACAGCAGACACTGTCATTATATATGATAGGTACTATCAGTTATCAGCTCCTCATATTAAAAGATAACATACTAATCATGGTACTCTATATATTATTTGCTGATTTATGAAACTTCTGATTAGTTCGAGTTTCCTATAATTATTTCTAAGTCTTCAAGTTCTGAGTTCTGTAGAATTTGAGCTTTTCCATTTTTATGTCTTCTAATCCAGAACATTCCATGAGAATATGTGATTCTTGATGATAGGCAATGTTACTCATATCACTTCTGCATGTAATAAGTCTCTTGATTGAGCATAGTGTAAATTCGTTCAGAGGCTTTGAGAGTTTTGAACAAAGTATCGTAGCCTCTAATTTGAAGAATTATGGGTTTTGTGGCAGTGATTGGAATCCTCATGCAGATCTTCAAGCTATGGCTCGGGCTCATCGACTAGGTCAACAAAATAAGGTGAAACTCTTCAATTCTCTAATTGTGTAATTTTTCTAACTACCTACGGTTCCATTGATTCCGGGGCTCTATCGAACAACTGGTTTATTTTCTATTTTTTATGTATCTCAAATGTTCTTATTTTGTTTTGCACACAAACGTACGTCTTCTAATGTTCTCTTACCTATGAATCTCATGGTAATAATACAAGTGCACTAGGAGAGCGAACACCAGTGCAGACCCATTTCGGAGTGGTTGCTGTATTGGGGATACCATTCCTCTTATGTTCTTGTTACTCCTTTGAGAAGGTTCAGGAGTTATTTTTTGCAGTTTGAGGTTGTCCGGCAGTTTTAATGTGACGATTGGTAGGTGTAGTCAGTCATAGTCTTCGAAACACTCTGAGGAGCACGTAAAATAAGTGCTGTACATCAACTTGGTTTCATCAATATATCTATATATTTGTGCAGGTGATGATTTTTCGTCTTGTTACTCGTGGAACAATTGAAGAAAGAATGATGCAAATGACAAAGAAAAAAATGGTCTTAGAGCATCTGGTTGTAGGCCGCATGAAAAAAGAAAACATCAATCAGGTACATATCGTGTCAAAGCTATTGTACAGGGTTTCATAATTTTTAATTTGGCGCTGCCTGATCAAATTTTGTGCCAATCCTGGTGTGATCAGTTTTGTAGTGGTTTTTCGATTTCGTACTGTTTGATCTGGCGCTATCAAGTTCACAATTTGTGACTTGTTACTTGTGATTTCAAGATCTTTGCATCTGCAGATAGTGAATTGGTCATCAGCTCTTTGAGATTAAATCTAGCTGGTATACACACAGATTGTGATAAAGTGTTTATCGTGCAACTGTCGACTCAAGACATTAGTTTATTTTTGAAGTGGTCATCATGATATATACTGCAGGAGGAACTTGATGACATTTTGCGGTATGGTGCAATGGAGTTGTTTAGTGAAAAGGATGAAGATGGAAAAACACGTCAAATCCACTATGACGATGCTGCCATTGATAGGTCTGTCCATTGCAAGGTTTCTGACATATGTTGTTCAGTAATTTTCTATTCCTCCCACGAGTCTGCTGTTCCTCACACTAGTCCACTTCCACCGTGTTATATCTCTGCATCCTACCTTCAACTTAGTCAATATCTTGGCCGTCAATGAGTTGTGTCAGTGATTTCTTTGTCGTCCTGACAACTTGAGGTTATGAGAACTTCCCTCAGTTTCTCTCTGAAACGTGTGTCAAGTAGTCGTGATTGTAAGATCTCTTCAGCACACGTGTCAATTTTATTATAATATGGAAATTGCAATGTTGAAGCCTGAATTTACGAGCGTTAATTTGGCTCGCGGAATTGAGAACTTTAACCGGAAACCCGCTGAATGCATGCAGGCTTTTGGATCGAGCCCAAGTTAATGATGAGGAAGAGAAAGCAGATGACGAAGAAGACAGTGACTTGTTGAAAGCTTTCAAGGTAATAATTGTTATGGTGAACGAACCCGAAATTTCACTGATTTTTTACCTTACACATTCGTTGTTGAAGATCAAACCTTTCTGGTCTTGGATATGCCGCTGGGCTTTCTTTCGCACCCATAAGCGTGACTACCAGTCTTCGTATTTCCACATATTAAAATGTATTGTTTGACTATTGTATTTGCAACAGGTTGCAAATTTTGATTACATTAATGACGAGGATGCAGCAGCGGCCGCTGCTGAGGAGGCTGAGAGGGAGGCCCGTGCCAAGCTGGAGGCTGAAATGGAGGGGCAAGGGCGGGCACAGTTTTGGGATAGTTTGTTGAAGGACCGAGTTGTCGAGCAGCAAGTGGAAGAGTTTGAAGAGCTTGGGAAAGGCAAGCGGAGTCGCAGACAGGTAGTGTATCCTTCAAGCATTCTGGTGTATAACTTGCGGCGACCAATAATGTCTCACTCATTTCCCAAGCTTTTGTCCAATCTTTAGTTAGTGAATATTTGGTGAATCTGAATGACATGGTTAATGGTGCTACGTGCTCTTCACTATCCTCTACGATGTCTTTTTGTAGCATGTACCAGTTTTCTGCTGGGAGACCATTATCGGGATCCAACTCATTTTTCAACCTAGAAGTTTAGGATAAAATTACGAAGAGTTGATGCTGGTGAACATTTGTAAATGAAGATTGACATTGTAGATTTATCACTTCATTTTCTTGTGGTGGAAATTTGTGCAGGTGAGACCTGGGTTATATTCTCAAGAGGATGATCTAGCAGGTATGGCTGAGATGAATTCCGATGACGGACAAGAACCCGAGTGGGCGCCTACTGCAGATGCAGACTCTCCCGGTTCTAATGGTGAGGTTGGTGAAGTTTCGGGTAGTAAAAAGTTGCAGCCCTCGAGGAAGAGAGTCAAAGGTACGTTCAGGGATTTCTTTTGAGTACTATGTATCGCAATTTTCTTTGGTGAGAATAGGCCGATTATGCTATTATTAAAATGTTGAGGATGCTAACTGAAGCTACCAAAGAAAGTTGGTGTGTCGGTGAGCTACATAACGTTGGATAGAGGATGTATTTCACTCCAGGGAGTTCTTGACTTTCTTAATTTGATATCTATTATTTAGCTAGAGATAAAGTGCTTTGTATATTTCAAAGTTCTTTCCCTAACTTGTAACCGTTTTTTCTTGTTATTGTGTGAAGAACGTATGACAGGCGAGCCACCACCGTTGATGGAAGGAGAAGGCCGAGAACTTCGAATTCTCGGATTCAATCATAGGCAGCGTTCTGTATTTGTTAATGTCCTGATGAGGTGAGTGCTGATCTTAGTTGTACTAGAGATGCTTAGTCTGATATGCCTTGTACATACAACTTATATTGCGAACTTGAGGTATAAAGCTAATTTACTTTCTGTTCGCCTTTGTGTTCAAGCTAGAGATATAAAGGTAGACGCTTTCTATATTTATTTTGAAACAATGTATTTTCTACACTCGCAGGTTTGGCTTAGGAGATTTCAGCTGGTCTGAGTTTATTCCTCGTCTGAAGCCAAAAACACCTGAGGAGATTAAGGAGTAAGGAATCGTCATGCTTATTGTTTTTCTTTCTGAAATAATACTTCCTGATCGATATGGTCTCCGGGCTGGTTTTATTATGTGATTTGTTTCAAGATATTGGCCCTATCTAATCTAATTATGGTTGACAGTTATGGCACTCTATTCTTGAGCCACATTGCGGAGGATATCAACGACTCCCCTTTTTTCTCTGGTAAGGATAATCTTCTGCTATTGCATCCTTGTTTCCTTCACCTTGAACGTTAAACCTCATTGAAAAGTTGGATGCACAGCTCGTATGAAACTGACAGTATTGTGCAATTCTAAACAGTCAACGTTTTTGGGTTGCAGATGGTATACCCAAGGAAGGTCTTCGTATCCAAGATGTCTTGGTACGACTGGCGATTTTGCACCTTATTCGCGACAAGGTTGCTATCATTTCTACTCATATTTCAAAATAATTTCTCCTCTTTAAATATGTACTGTTCATCTCTGTCGTCTCTTGAGTTGGATATTTTTTTCATTTTTGTGTCGTGCATTACGCCCATGTTTTAACTTGGGTGATGTTTCGTACAGGTTAAAGCGCTGACAGAAGACCCAGCAATGCCTCTTTTTTCTCAAGGTTCACATATGTATCGTTATTATTCTCTTCGAAATACGAAAGTCTGGAAAGAGGAGCACGATCGCAAACTGTTGTACGCAATATGCTCGTAAGTTATTCTTAAAATTGTGTTATGGATGTTTGTATTTTAGACGACGTAATGGATTATTAGAAAGAGGTTATGGCAGCAAGGCAGAGCTGCTTGTAATTCTCAAGTAGGGACGTCTTACCAGAACTCGTATGATTTTTGGTTTGGGTTCACCCAACAGACGGCATGGCTATGGGAGGTGGCTGTCGATTGTGGAAGATCCTCAGTTGGGGTTGGGCCCTGTCATTCGCGGTGAGCTGCTTCTGCGAGGTGTTAATGATAGCGCTGGGCCTTCTAAAAACGGTGACGCTCGTCCGGGTGAATCAGAGGACCCTTCAGGACGTGGTCAGCTTAGCTTCTATCACTCGAAACCTTCCGATTATTAATTAGAGAGTTATTTAATGTAGCTGGTGTTCCCTAGCCTAGAATTTAGTTTTGATATTCGTTTTTCGTTTTCTTTTCTTTTTCTTTTTTGTTCCGAGTGTCATAGAGGTCTTATGTTGAGCTGTGTGTTTGTATTTGCGAAGGTGAAGCGCCTGCTCCTGCTGATGAGGAAGGACCTCCTGGATTGCCAGTTGGGGCTGACAGAGAAGAGAGAGAGGCTTATCTGCAGAAACGGATGGTTGACTTCGTAAAGAGAAGAGTTTTGGTTTTGGAGAAGGTCTTGAATGCAGAATATCATTGCACGGTACATCACACTTAATCTATTGGTCAACATTCATTTGTTTGTTCATTTTGTAGGGTCTTGGGAGTAAAGTATATGTGCACTACACATTTCTTTATTTGAAGAGGTTACATAGTCAACCGGCGTTCCCTTTTGTTGTAATGAGTTCGTATGAAGAGTAACGAAAGGTCCCACTATTTATTTACTTTCGAGTGACTTTGTTATTACCTGTATATGTAGGGGGCTGACCAAGTTCAGGTTGAGGAGCCTCCTCCGCAAATGATGACGAATGAACAAGCTATGAGAGGTCACCAAGCACCACAGATGATGATGAATGATCCTCATATGAGAAGTCATCAGGTACCACAGACGATAATGAATGATCATGGCATGAGAGGCTATCAAACGCCGCAGATGATGATGAATGATCCAATGATGAGAGGCTACCAGTCGCCTCAAATGATGAACAACAATATGGGAATGGGTGCCCAACAACAATCGCAATATCATCCAATGCAACAGATGCGGCCTCATGTGCAAGAACGTGGTCCTCTTCCTCCTCGGCATCCTGTGCAAATTTGTAAGTCTTCGTTATCTTTGTTTTGAAATCAATGAAATACTGCCTTTATGAAAGCGATTGCTTCTATTGAACTTTTTGGGCTATTTTCTCATGCTATTTTGGGCTTTTGATTGGTCTGGATATGCAAGGCCAATCCACGGATCTTGAGATATTTAGGCTTTTAGTGATATTCTTGTTTTTAGTTCGTAGTTTTGCAATATTTGATCAGAAAATAAAAATATTGAACACGCACAATTGACTCTCTCGCTCTCTCCCGTCTTCGTTTTTTTTTTTTTTTTTTGGCCTCAGCACCTGAAGAACTTGCTGCAAATGCTTTTGACAAAGAAGAAGGTCGCTTGAAAGTTGCTCACATCTATAATCAGGTGCGGATTTTCTTGTTGAATGATTTTCTTCAGATTTGCTCATTGCTTTTTTCTGTCACTTGTATTAGTACCGACAATAGTATGTCCGTAGCATTAGCACATGCGAAATACTCTTTCACCGTCTCATTAATGGAAATGCCGGATTCACACTTATTTTCTGTCGGTTTAATTGCAGTCTATGAAGTTACTGTTGCTATATGTAGTCACGAATCAAATTGCACCTGGTCTCGAAGTTGGAACATTAGAATCCTCATGCTGGGATCTCAATGGGGAGTGATCAGGAGCACTTAAATATACCTGCTATTAATTTGATTATGAGTAGGCACAACATTCTAATTGTGTTTGGCGAATACAGATATGCGCAACAGTAAATGAGAACGAAGGCGACGCCATCCAAGCTTATGGTGGGAACAAGTCAGCAGGGCTTCGAGTCCGAAAGGCATTACGAGAGATTGAGATCCTTTGCGTAGACATGCGAAATGCTTTGTTTGATCAGCCACTTCGAAAGTCGACTGGCCGTAAGAAAAAAGCAGATGGTGCAGAGGGAGCTGAGCCTGCTGTAGAGGGAGCCAAAGAAGACGGAGTTGATGGCCAGTCTGACGATGGACTCGAAGACTTCAACGAAGAATTCGATAGAGAGATAGACTCCGACATTGAATGCGATGTAGAGACCAGGCGACCCTCATCTCCTACTCCAACTAGTGAACCCGGCAACGAAGTTCATGAGTACCAGTTTCTTAAGAATGCAGATGCAGATGCGGGTGAGCGTTCATGGCCACAGGGCTTGCAAACCCTGAAGCCTGGGATGAGGGTCGACTTGGGCGGACCAAGACACTCTCCACTACAGATGACGCCTCCTGCTCATGCTGCTCCCACGCCTAGCGTTGCTCCTCAGTACGAAGAAGGCAAGTGGCCTCCTGCCGTTGTATACTTGGACAGAGATTGAGTTGATTGCGTTTGTAGATGAGATTCCTCCATTTATTATCCAGAGAGGGCGCTGGTGAAGGTTGAGGACAGAACCTTCTTGAATTCGCGCCTGAAACTCCAGGTTTGCAACTTGTAAATAACTCTGCTTGTCCTGTGGGTCATGCTGGATTCTTTATTTCATCATTCGTGCATTCTACATTCAACTTTTTACTTTCCTCAGCGTGCGTCGTCTTTGACTTAGACTTGGACACGGAGACCGCGAAATGAGCTCAGATAGGATGAGGGGTGTCCATTGGAGTTATCAACCATTGTTACATGAGGAGAATATTTTATTGACCCATCCGTTACATGCTTACATTATTGAAGCACCTGAAATTGCGGATGATTTTGATTGATATGACTTTCGTGTTATTACTGATGGGTCCCCCTGTTCCTTACGAGACTCTTCTGCGTTTTTGATATCTTCCCACCGTAAAAATGTTTTGAAAAATATGTTTACTCTTGCACATTCTTACCGGTGTACTGCGTATTATTGTGGGATTGAAAACCCACCATTTCGTATACAATGTGTGTTAAGCCAGGGGGCTTGATATACGTGCTGCACCCAAAATATTTGGCAAAAGTATCTTGAAGGGTATCGTAGTGATTGGTGCAGATATTAATGCATCAAATATTTCGTAACGCAGAAGTGAAAATGTTTTGTCTTGAGTGAGTTAGCATTGTAGTGTCGTACACAACACGCAACGATGATCGTATTCCCTGCAACAAATAAAAACCACATAAAAACCAGCCGACCGTAATTGCTCGTCATTTTCAGGCAAAGAGGAAAAACAGACCACCTCATGTTTGTCAGTGGTACTCTACTGCTGGCTCTTATGAGGCTTTGCAAGTAATTTCTTTATCTGACTTTTGTATTTGCAGATAAAAAGTTGCTGTAGGGAAAGGACAATCTCAACGAGCATTGAAGTAGCATCTGCGCACGGCAACTAACACCATTCATTCCTGCCTGTGTTCATTGTTCACTCGCTCCAACCAGGTAGATTGACTGAAACTGTTGCAAATTTGCGGGTAAGTATCTGGGTGTAAAAATCCGTGCATGGACTGCCCGATGCAGGAAACACACATTGAATCATCGTCAAGTATATCTGCACCAACAAGGGCAAGTTAATGAATGGGAGAGTGTACTTCTGTTGAGAAGAGAAGTCTAAGGCTAAGTAATGGCGCGCGAACTTGTGGTCAAAGATTTCGTGAACTTCAGGATGGTATCTATGGCTTCCTTAACCCATGCAAGGTTTCAGAAATTAATCTGAATGATAACAAGGTTATAACCGGAATACGATTACACTTGTCCCAGAAGAGATACTTCCGTCTGCGCTCATCTTTAGCAATGGTTGCTGCTAGAAGGTAATACAGATACACGGCCAAGCGGGTCTCACGAATGAATTGTAGTTGAAAAGTATGTTGCACACATGAGATTCAGATCGAACTGGTCGTAAGAGCTGTCGTCACTGCATGAAAGTGCATGATCAAGGACTTCGGCTTCGGTGTGTCGAACTAGGGTTTTGCAAAAGCCGGTCAAAGCTAGCAGTTGGATCAGTGCTTCCGTCCATAGGAACCGAATGCAAGAGAATTGTTAGTATGAATATAGCAGGGGAAGGGCTGACTAGCAACCAAAGGTGACTAGCTTCAGAGAGGATTCCGAAACAAGTGAAGAAACTGTGGCAACACAAGAAGCAATTGTACACAGTAACGAGCAAATGCAACCATACAGGATCCTGCAGCGAGGGCTTCATCTCCGCGCGCTTGGTGTGTGACCTCCATATTCACACAACTGCAATGTACATCACACACAGCTAAGACAACGGGCGTTGGGTTTCTCACGAGCGTCACGTTAGCGGTGATGGCGCTGGGATTCCGTAAGTCCAGCCCAACACAGACCTCCAGAACAATATGTACACCGTGGTCCAATTACGGCAATGACAACAGAGTAGAGGGTTTCATGATTTCGAATGAGTTTGTCACGAAATCCAGGATCATCGGGTTGATGATATGAGCTCGTTAGAAAAACCAACATCATGGACTGCACCATCCACAAGCAACGTGACTAAATGTAACCATTGCTGAACTCCTCAGTCCTCACCCAGAGCTTCAAAACGTTCTCACCAATGCCTGTCACGCCCAAATCATAGAACACTACCTCCTACGCTCAATCAAACCCTCTCACTTTCTCGACCCGAAACAAATTCTATTGGACAGTAAGAAGAAACTACAATAGTAGCGAACATTGGTTCAATGAGAAGAGAATACACTGGGGTTAAAGTACTACGTTGGGAACCATGGGGAAAGGGAACTAATTTGCTCCTAATAACGTAATATTCTAAAGATAGAAGGAAGAATATGAGGGCAGATACCTCCACTTGCTCTCATCTTTGCTCATACTGCACAATCAAGTATGGATTGGTATCAGCGAGTTCGAGTACTTTCTCCTGTGAGTTATAGTGGGCTTTTGCACTTATATCTTGAATTGTATCTCTTCGTATGGTTGTACTAAAGTTTTAACTACTACTCTAGTGTCAGGTTTTGTTGGCGATATTCTGGATAATCCTTTCCTACTTTCATCACATCGTTTCCTAGTCGCTCGCTGTAGTGGAGAAGTGTCTTCCTGATGAGTTCCTTTCGACTGTTTGGAGCAGCCCTTTGTCTTTTGTTGGTTTTCTCGAATCTTCGTCATTGGAGGAGTTCGGACCTGTGAAGAAATTCTATGCCGTTTGCAGGGGATTAAGACCTGGAATTTACTCAAGTTGGGAGGAGTGTAGACGAAATGTCGATGGTTTTAGTTGTTCTGAATTCAGGCGTTTCGGAACCCTGGGTGAAGCTAGAGGTTACCTATTGAGCAACTGATTTAATTGGTTTCAAGCCGTAGGTAATTAACATTGAGATCTGATGTAGTTTTTTTCATGCCCCAGCGGCGCAGGTCAGAGTCAAGTCGACTATACCACATCTGAGGGCTCTGCTTGAGTTCGTATAGTGATCTGTTGAGTTTGCAGACAAGGTGTTCGGTACCTGGTTGAATACATCCTAGAGGCTGGTGCATGAAGATTTTCAAAAATCTGTTTAAAAATGCAGTTGCTACACCTAGGTGTTAAATTGGCCATCCGTTATGTGCCGTGAGTCTTGTTATGAGACATATTGATTCCCACCTCACTATCGGCGCAAATGTCTCTTGGAAGTTAATACTATGCTGCAGCTCGAAGCCTCGAGCTACTATACGAGCCTTGAAACGTGCTGGTCCTCCATCGACACCAGGTTTAAACTTAAAGATCCAGCATGCAGAGATCGGCCGGATCCTAGGTGAAGGGGGAACGAGATCCCAGGTGTGGTTTTCTAATATTGAATTATATTCAGATGCCATAGCTTCTGCTCAGCGCGGATCGTCCCTGGCTTCCGCATATGTTATTGGTTCTCCGCCTTCTTCAACAATACCTATAAAATTTTCCAAATAATCATTGAGACGGTAATCCGCATGGGTGCATGGCGCGCTGCGGTGTCGGGTAGAGCGGCAAATGGTTGTTTCTGGCTTCGTAATCTCCGGTGGATTTGATGAGATCGTGAGGTGCGAATGAATAATTACTGGTTGGGTCGTAGATGTTATCTCTGAGCTCGGGTCTACGACAGTCGTGGTGGTCAATGTCAGAGATAATTCGGGAAGAGTATGGTTGTCGTCATCCGGATTTGGAGTTGTAGCTTTTGGAGTGGGTAGATCAAGAGGTAGTCCAGATATGGTGTTGTTTGAGTGCAGCACGCGTGGGAGTTGCATCGGTCCAGCTTTTTCCAAGATTTGGATGTCCTTTGATATGACAATTTTTCATGTATGAGGGTCATAACACCGGAATTCTTTCACTTGGTGATCGAAGCTTAGTAATAGATTTAGTTGGGAGCGCGGAGACAGTTCATTAAGATTGGGATGAGTGTATAGCATGTACACAGGAGAACCAAAAGTACAAAAATCTGAGACGTCCGGTTTCACGCCTGTAAAAAGCTCATTTGGTGTTTTATCGGGGTAGTCCTTACTTGATCGCACATTCATAATGTTGCACGCTGCGCGAACCGCTTCTGCCCAGAATTCTCTGGGTAGATCGCTATTGACCATGAGACAACAGACTATGTTGAGTGTGGTTCAGTTACATCTCTCCTTTGTGCCGTTCTGTTGCGGGGTGAAAGCTTGACTGAACTGCCATTTAATATCATGCTGCATGCAGTAGTTCTGGAATTCTTGGGAGGAGAATTTGCCATCGCTATTAGTGCGGAGAGTGATGATTCTGTGTCCAGTTTTTTTCTTGGCTTCTTGATGGAATGGTCAAAGTTTTGAAAAACATTCATGTTTGTATTTCAGGAAATACACCCAAGTGCAACATGAGAAGTCGTCTACTATGAGCTGGAAATATAGTGTGCCCCCAAGAGACCGCATCTGGAAAGGTCCTGCGATATTAGAATGAACTAATTCGAGGGTTTTTTCGGTGTGAGAGGTTCTGAGTTTTGGTAGGTTCCGCCTGGTCTGTTTTCCCTTCAAACAGCTTTTGCACACGCTATTGGTAATTATGAGATTGGGTAGGCCTTGGACAGCACCTGAGTTGATCATCCGCCTTGTGCGTTGATAATTGTAGTGTCCCAAACGTTTGTGCTAGACTGCGGCTTCAGAGAGTAAATTGTTGGTGTAGGCTAGAGTAGGTTGTATTGAGCATGTCAAGACTTCTGAACAATTGTGAAGGGTCTCGTTGCTCAACCTGTAGAGACCATTGTGGGTCTACTATGAGCTGGAAATATAGCGAGACGTCTCGCATTGCAATAGCCACTATCTTGTGTAATCTGTCTGGGATTTTTGCGCCGTCTCTTTGTAATTTTGATTCTAATTCACGAACCTTGTTCATGATAGATTTGAGTTCACCTTCGAGGGTTTCTGTTTTTTGATTTGATGTCTCCCATTGTTCTCTCGTTGTTATATCGCTCGTTCCGATGGGTATTGTAGGAGCTTCCAGATCCACCATACGGTCTTCCAGGGCTTGAGTGTGTGCCGCCCAAGCTGGAATAAGATCCTCCCGAATGTGAGTTAGGTCCTCCCATTGTGTAGGAGTGATGTCCTTGGTAATTGTTGTAGCCGCCGTTATGTCCGAAGTTGGATCTACCCGTGCTGTTCGATCTGCCGCCGTGATAGTGAGGTGGTATTGTTCTGAAATTGTGCCGTGATTTGAGCAATGCTTTATCGTCGTGTTCCGTGTCTGCCCTGACTTTCCGGGTGTTCTCTTCAATAAAGAGACGAGCTTCTAGTTCAAGGTAGGTTTTCAGTTTTTTGTCGTTGAGTATCATTTGTTTGATGATCTCGTACTCCTTGAGCAAGTTTTTGGTGTAGTATACTACAACTAGTTTGGGAAGCCCTACTTCGAGCTCTTCCATCTCCTGCTGCCTCCTTCATGTCGGCCAAGTATTCGTCCATATTGTTTGTTTTCCAAATGCTAAAAAATTTGTCAATGATAAGGATTTTTTGAGAGTGACTATTGGATTTGTATCTTGCTTTTGACGATGTCCAGCAGTCGTACGGATCTTTATATCTCTTGAGTAATTTGATCGCCACAACAGTAAGAAACATCGGTTCAATGAGACGAGAATACACTGGGGCTAAAGTACTATGTTGGAAACTACGAGGTAAAGGGAACTTATTTGTTTTCAAGTACGTAATATTTTAAAGATAGAGGAAAGAAAATGAGGATACCGTCCAACAAATTCTTTGACAATTTAAGAGGAACTCTCAGCTCGCTCACAACGCCACCTTTTACTGCATTTCCTTCAATCACCCAGAATCAAAGCTGCTACTTGTGCTCAATTTCATAGCTACAGGAATGAAAAAATATGATACTTATCAACAACGATTTCAAAGTATTGCATCGCGACTCCCAAATGATTCTATTTGAGGTCACCAGCACAGCTCCGCGTCTCCCACAAGCGCAAGCTCTTGCACCGCCATCGCCAGGCGGCGATGCATTTCATGGCGCGGGCGCCATCCTCCACCCGCGCCTCTCACCCGACTTTTTGCTAGGTGCAAGTCTAACTGTGGTGCTTGAGCTTTTTTCAAAAAATATAAATGAAATATTAGAATCTTATTTTCGAATTATTTATATCATTGTTTTGGGTGTATATAATATTCAATTATTTTGTAGCTTTGGAAAACTTGTTTGATGTCTTTCAAATAGGCGTCTTTACTTTGTAACAAAAACTGTAAAGAATATATATATTTTTGCCTAGAGATATTTTAGAAGATACAAAATAGAAAACTTCTATTAATTTTTTTTTTTTTTTTTTTTTTTTCATGAATAAGCAAACCGTATGTTTAGAACAGTAAGATCTCGTTCTCAAGTAATTTTTAAAAAATGGAATAAATAGATTTTTTAAATAATTATTCAATTTAGCAATCTTGTAAAACTGAATAAAATCTGTGTGTGTGTGTGTGTGTTTTCCTACACCAAATAAAAATGATTTAGATTTCACCAATTTATTAGCAATTATTAATTTATGAATTATACTTTTTACTATTTCAAAAAATAGAAAAATGATTTATTTTATTTTTTTGCATTAATATATAATAATTCGGTTGTATTACTCATAGATTATATGATTTTTTTAATAAACTTATTTTTTTATTGGAAAGAATCATGTGCAATGTCTTGGAGTTATTATATGCACAATTATTAAAATCTCATATTAAAAGTCTAATTAGAATAGTACAAAAAAAATCCATATGTATTATTAACATTTTTGGATTTTTTTTGTATTAAATAGTATTAAAGTCGTCCAACTTGTAATATTTATTACTTTAATATGGACGACTTTAATACTATTTAATACATATAATACAAGTTGATAATTGATAACTAATTTTAAAATCTATAAAAGTCTATTACTTTCATATCTCATGTTTATTTGATAATTTTGTATTATTCTTTTTAAAATGATGCATTGAATTCGATTGAAAACTTTGGTATTAAAGTTCTTTTTTAAAAAATAAGATTTATTTATTTTATTTTATTTTATTTTATTTTTTGCTTGTTGAACTATAGATTAGAGTTGGAAAAGAATTAGTGAATTAATATAGATCTTTAGTGGCATGTGTGGTTCTCCAACCACCCCAAAGTTTACATCTTAGATTGAATTCTCCAACTTTAGGCATTCTTGTCTTGCCCTTGTTGGCTTATGATTTTGCTCATCTTCCTATTGTTTCATGGAAGGCTCAGATTTATATTAATAATGCTTGTCTACAATGATGGCTTCTCATCTTTATTCCACCACCCTTGTTGTGTCCACATAATATTCTATATTAAATCTTCTAGTCTCATTCCAAAAACTGTTATTATGATATGTAAAAACTAGCTTGTGAATGCACTAGGAATTTGATTGTAGATGGATATGATTTTATCTTAAAGTTGGATCTTATAACCATAAGAAAACAATGCATAAGGTGTTGAGAAAAACTTTAGCAATATTAAACAACCTGATTAACCTTGTCACATTATATGCAACTTCAAATAAATCTTAAACAATCCTAAAAGAAAATTCTAACTAAAATTTAAAAGAAATCAAACAAAAATTTATAGAAATTAAAAATTAAAAGAATTTTAAAAAATTAATAATCCTAAAGAAATTTCAACAAATCTTTAGAAAAAAAAAATTAAAAAATTACAAGAAATTCTAAAGAAATTTTAAATTAATCCTAATTAAATTCTAACTAAAATTTGATAAAATCCCAAACAAATCCTAATTGGATCCTAATAGTAATTTTAAAAAATTCTTAAATCCTAACCAAACCTCAAGTAAATCTTGACTAATTCTAATCAAATTTTAAGTAAATACCATAATAAATCTTAAACCTCAATAACTATTATATTAAAAATTATTTTTTATTCAAAATTTTTATACAACTCAATTTATTAGTTGAAAACAAGCACACAAAATTTGAAGAGGATGAAATATACAAATTGGGAGAAATTGCTCCTAATTCACTTGGGTGTTAGCGATCCTCCTTCTACAACCTCAAAGCAAAATTTCAAGCTTCAATATCTTGTTGTTGAACCATTAACTTTGTCTCAAAATTTGTAAGAATGTACAAAATAAGTCAATTAACATTATATAAAGAAATTATTATGATCTAATTTTTAAATTGCTTAAAACTAAAGAAAACAATATTAACCTTCAAAACCTATTTTCTAAGCTCTAAGTTTTTCTTGATCTTCACTTATATTTGATATGATTTTCCAATTGAGTTCAAATTCACAACATTTATTCAATACAAATATGTTCACAAATCCACCAAATTTTTCTTATAGATCTACTATAAAATCTACATAGATTACCAAAATGAAATCTTTTATTTATTCAATATAAAATATAGTCACCTAAAAATATCTTAACTTAGCAAAGTCTTCACAAATTCAATATGCACTCAAATCTCTCAATTCTTATAGAAACCTTATCAAGTTTGCTCTCAAAACCTACACTTTCATCAACAAAAAAGAATCTCATGTGCCATAGGCATGCAATTTTGTGCCTAAAAGTCTGGTTTTGACTTTGATTCATAATCAACCCTCCATGGATATCAATCTAAGATTTATCTAAGTAATTTTTCTTAAATGCTATTCTCTACTTCTACCTAAAGATGCCTACAATACTATTTTGCTAATCTACCTTATTTTGCCTTGTTTACATCCCTACAAAGTAAGTAGAAATCCTTTTTATAAAAGACATCATTAGTACTTATTAGTTTTACTATCTCTTAAACTATTATCTATAATTATAATTTGCCACTATACTTTAAAATAGGCTCTTCTATAATAGAATATTTTCCTCTCTCTTTCATCCATGGCCATAGCAAAGAATCTAGAGTATGTTGACAAGAGTTGCTAGTATGCTTTTTGATTTATAATAGTCAAATGTTTATTATTGTGTAGTGGTACTTTAAGAAAATAATCATATATATATATATATATATATATTGTGTTTATTGAAAAGGTTTGTAATCAATTTTGTTTTGATGGACAGTGGAACTCACATTGATTGGCAGCAGAGTCATTTTTGGTTTTTAGTTGGTAAGATCTGCAAAAATATTTAAGAATAAAATCTCCCCTTGACCCCCTTCCCTCTCCCCAAGCTAAGATTTTAACTCTCTTAAACTTAAAGTTTTGGAAATCAATCTGAGATGTTGCATTATGTTTTCCACTTTGAGTTGCCTTTGCAAATTGGGGTGGAGTGGAATACATTTGCAATTTTGAGTTATGAAGAAGTAAATGCAAATACTTGGCTTAAATGTGCAGGATTTTATTTACTTATTTATTTATTTTTGTTAAAATTAAGATTTGACTGCTCAAGGGAAAAGCCTAAATCTGTGTCTGTAGATGTAGCTACTAAACCATTGAAGATGTCTTGCAATGGAAAGGGAAAAAAATATTTATCCATCATTCTTAAATGGTGCTGATCTGCCAAAAGATGAATGAAGTATTGGTTTAACTTGCAAAGCTGTATTAACTTTAATAATTAAGCTTAGCCAATAGCGGGCTCCAACAAAAATGTGAAAAGAGTATCTCATATGTCATTCAATATCTTGGTGTTTTGATACATTTATAAGAGTCCAGGCATTGCTGTGGTGTGAATTTACCTCAATGACTGGAGTGGTGACATGCTAAACATTTAACTGGACTTCATGAACAATTTTGATCAAAGATTGAGGCAAGTCATAGATACACTTGTCTTGTGGATAAAGACAGTTTTTCTCAAGGAATTTTGTATTGAATTGTGTGCTGGAGGACAAATTGGCTATGCCTTGGTTTCCATGATTGTAAGAATACT